GAAAACAGAAAGCAACTAAAACTGAACAGAGGAAAAAACAAACAAACAAACAAACAAACAAATATATATATATTTTGTAAAAAACTAAATAAAAGACAGGTTTCCATCAACTATAGGAAGTAATATAAGACAAAGCTCCTTTTTTTCTTCTTTCCTCAAGGCATTGAATGAAGAATGAATCATCTTGGGAAAAACATGATATCTAAATTTCCCAACAAGATTAGTTAATTTGTTTTCTATTTACTGTGCAAGTATCTTAAACTGTTGTAGAAAACAAGGGGAAATATTCACAATAAGCCAGGCGAAAAAACTATATATATATTGTGAAGTTCATCTTTAAAATATGTTGCATGTGTGTGCACAGTAAAAATCAGAATATTGAGAAGAAAAGAAAGAAAATGGGAACTACAAATTGTTATGCTATACAGCTGTACAATCTCACAAAACAATACTCATTTTAAAAGTAAGATTGGTGGTGGTGGTGTTAAGTACATCAAGTAAGTTCCAACTCTTAAGGATATACCATAGAGGGTTTCTGAGGCTGTAAATCTTTGCAGGCGTAGAAAGCCTCATATTTCTCCCATACAGTGGCTGGTGGGCTCCAACTGTTGACCTTGTGGTTCATAGTCTACTGTTATCCTACAGAGCCCTAATACATATGAGAGCGCTTCAAACAATTCATGGACAAATGGAATTAAAAAAATAATGGAATTTTTCTATGAACTTTTCCAAGCTCCCTCGTATATCCAGACCCATAAAAACATGCAAGTGCTCTAACTCAGTAAACCTACTTCCAATGATGTAATCCAAGCACAGAGGATATGCCATAGGACAAAATATAAACATTATAGTGAAAATATGGAAATATCCAACATTCAGTAAATAACAGTTGGCAGATCTAAACCATCATCCACTCTGCAGGTGAAAGATGAGGCAGTCTGCTTCCATAAAGATTTACAGTCTTCAAAACCCTGAAGTGCTGTTCTACTATGTGCTGTGTCGTCACCAAGACTTGAAATCAACACGATGGCAGTGGGTTATAGAAAATGGAAAAGGATGAAGCATGAAGATATATCGATTTGGAAAAACAAATGATAATGTAGAGTAAAAAAAGTAAAATACAAAACTGTATATACATATATATTTTTATAAGCTACAAAAGTACATACAGATCTATATAGTATAACTATAAAATACGTACAAAAAGGAGAGTAATAAAATGATAATAGTTATTGTATTAGTGTATAAAATTAGGTCAGTTTTTTCCTTTTCCCTTCTCTTTAAATTATTGTGTAATGGTGCTTTATTCCTTTTAAGTAATTTAAAAATCATTTACAAACAGCAATCTTCACATTAGTATAAGAAATGATCCAGAAGACAGTTCTGGATCTTGAGATTCATCCATTATCACCTTTATGGTTTTGTTTTGCT